CCTAGTGACTCCATGGTGTGTAGAACAGCAGTCCTCAGGCTGTGCCTGCCCTGAGTGACTCCATGGTGTGTAGGACAGCAGTCCTCAGGCTGTGCCTGCCCTGAGTGACTCCATGGTGTGTAGGACAGCAGTCCTCAGGCTGCACCTGCCCTAGTGACTCCATGGTGTGTAGAACAGCAGTCCTCAGGCTGTGCCTGCCCTGGTGACTCCATGGTGTGTAGGACAGCAGTCCTCAGGCTGTGCCTGCCCTGAGTGACTCCATGGTGTGTAGGACAGCAGTCCTCAGGCTGTGCCTGCCCTAGTGACTCCATGGTGTGTAGGACAGTAGTCCTCAGGTTGTGCCTGCCCTGGTGACTCCATGGTGTGTAGAACAGCAGTCCTCAGGCTGTGCCTGCCCTGAGTGACTCCATGGCATACAGGACAGCAGCTCTCAGGCTGTTTGTCCCCAGTCACTCCACATTGTAACGCAGTAATTTGCCTTGAGCTTCTCCACTTTGAGTTTAAGTGCTGAGGTGGATGATTCTACACCTTGTTTGTACAATTAAACAACCACCATCTGCCTGGCACAACTGTAAGGCACAAACTGATAAATAAATTAAGTGTGCTAATTAAAATGACCACCTGTGGACTTATCAAATTATCAGAAGCACGTGGTGGATGGATGGGCATATCCAACTGTGTCAGGAAAACTGGGCCCACACACTTATCAAACCTACCAGGCACTGAATGAAGCAACCTCCTCCCTTAAACCCCCCAAAGAAGGAGCATCATGACTGGACACAGTGGCACCCTGACCTTATCATCTAGTCACTTGTCACAATCCTTGCCCAAGAGAATCGCCCTAGGAACAAACCTCCAAATCCCTGTCCTTGGGCTTCACAGGAGCGGGGTTTCTCCTGTCCATGATGACCACCCTGGGCCCCACTTCCAGCTGTCACCTGGAGCTGCCATTCCAGGCTGATGCTGTGAAATTGCGGACCCTGTGCTTTGACCACTCGGGACTGTGTAGTCACCTACCTACTGGTCACCTGCAGTGGCTGTGCTCCTATCCCTTTTTCCTTGTGCTCCTGGCTCAGCACCTGAAACCCTGTGGCCGTCTTAGCTGTTTCTTCGTGTTCTGTGATCTCCTTCTATGTCACTGAGTGAAGTTTGACGTGTGACTTGAGCATTATCGATATGAGAAATTGATATTGGAATAAAAAACCCTGTGATTGTCTGACTTATGACTACCAGGTGTCCCACGACTGAACTGCCACGGTGGAAGTGGGGCAGCCTGTGAATCTATTGTTATTCAATAAATTCTGACACTGCAGAAAGACACAGATGGGTTTGGTTCATGTTAAGGTCGTAGCTCACTAACGAAACACTGGGATCCTGGGGATGGCCTTGAAGGAGATCTGAGGCCCACTGAGACCCTGATGATGTCCCTGAGCCCCACTTGACCCTGGGGATGGACCTGTGCCTCACTGACACACCAAGGAAGACCATGAACCCTATTGAGAAACTGGGAGCAGGTAATTCTTTTGGAGACTCCGGGGTATACAGCAAACTGAACTGAGACCAAAAGCCTTAAGCTCCTCTGAGACCCTCAATAAGGCCTTCAGTGCCCTTGAGACCCTGGGATAGGGTCTGAGCTTCACTGAGAAAGCTATGCACCCCATTTAGACCCTTGGGAAAGCTCCAGGCTCCACTGAGCCCCTGGGGACAACCCGGAACCCTTAGGAGCTCCAGCCGACTGTGAGCCCAGTGAGGTCCTGGGCAAGGCTCGTGTTCCTCCTGCCTCCCTGGCCCTCCCTGTCTGACGGCTCCTCTCCCCACTGCAGCAGGCACACTGAGCACCAAGTGTCCTCAGTGGCTAGGTCAGGAATGCCACAGCACTACAGAGCCCCCACAGAGAGCGCCACCTGGTGGAGGATGAGGCTCATGACCAGGGTGGGGCTGGGGGAGAGGGATCAGTGCCGAGGCAGGGGCAGCAGGGTCAGGAGGTAGGACAAGGGATGCCCCAACTCTTTAGGCTGTGCAGGCTGTGAGGGAAAAGTGTGTCCTGCAGCAAAAGAGGTGTGCAGACAGCAGGCAGAGGGCCTCAGGGTCTGTACACCACCCAGTGGAGTCTGGCTGAGTCCTCTTCGGGGTTGAGCACCGCATGGGGGTGCACCACAAGGTCTCAGCCCAGCTGAGCTCCAAGGGAGCAATGGGGCAGTAGCCTGGCCTGAAGGGGAGGACAGGCAGGGGCTCTCGAAGGAGGGGGAGGGAGGAAAGGGGCCTGGGCTGGGCCGGCGGGGACTCTGTTGCCCTCACATTGAAGATGGGCAACGGGCCCCATCCCAGGGCCATGCTGCTGGGTCCTAAGGGGCTGGGGGCCTTAGTCCTAGGGCGGGGTGAGGAGTGGGCAGGCAGCATGGAGTGGACACTCCTGGCTCCCCCATCCCCATGACCCTGGCCACCCACTGGGGTCTAAACAGGAGTTCCAGGGCAAAGGCACAGGCCCTCAGCGGCTGCCAGCCCTGCTGAACTAGTGTGGAAAACACTCAGCCTGGTCCCCTGGGCTCTGCTCTCCTGGAGACCTCGGCCCCCAGCTGCGCGCAGGGCCAGCTGCGCCATCACGCCCTCGTTAAGACTAATGAACCCAGGGCCTGAGCGGAGGTGCTGGTGATCAAAGCGCTCTTCCTGCAGACCCAGCACCAGGGAAATGATCCAGAAGTTGCCACCTCAGCCCCCTCCCGGCCATCTGCCGACCTCCCTGCACCCCTAATGGGCCAGGTGGCAGGGGACAGGGGAGGTGAACTTGGGGCTATAAAGCAGGAAGGGAGCCAGCCATCCTCACCCCTGCGGGAGCAGCTGCATTCTGAGGCGGTCAGTACTCAGGTCCGTGTCCCCCATGCTGGGCCCAGAGCTGCCCAACTGGGGCTCCAGGGTGGCTAGGAGGATGAGGGGGGTCCCGTGGCCTGCCTTAACGTTGCCTGTCCCCCAGGTCATCGTCTCTCCACCATGGCCCTGTGGACACGCCTGCTGCCCCTGCTGACCCTACTGGCCCTCTTGGGGCCTGACCCTGCCCAGGCCTTTGTCAACCAGCACCTCTGCGGCTCTCACCTGGTGGAGGCACTCTACCTGGTGTGCGGGGAGCGCGGCTTCTTCTACACACCCAAGTCCCGCCGGGAGGTGGAAGAACAGCAGGGTGAGCCCCCGTCGCACTCCTGCTGACCCTGCCCTGGTAGGACAGAGGTGGGCAGAAAGCTGCTGTCTAGGGGGTGTCCGTGGACTTGCTGGAAGGAAAAAGGAGGCTCTCCTGGTCACTTCCTAGGGGGAACCAGCTCCTTGCGGAAGGCTCAGGGTGGAGGAGTGCTGACCAAGGCCTTTGGGCCACACGTCCCCCCTGCTCCTCAGGTGAACGTGCACCCACAGCCCCTTGCTCGGCCCTTCTAAGACGATGTCAGCTCAGGGACAGATTTTATTGACTAGATCATATCCTGGGAGCTGAGGTCTCAGGGGCCCTGGAGAGTGTGGAGTGCCCGTCCACCTGTCTGCCAGCACCAACCCTTGGGCTCATACAGGAGTCCTGCCCCAGGGCCCCTGGGCTGTGGGGACTCAGGATGTGTGGGCAGGCCCTGGGCGGGAACCCAGGGGCAGGCCTGTGTGCCACTGCCCTGGGACCAGAGAACAGCTGCAGAATGTGTAGACTCCAGAACCCTGTGTCCATACCCAGAGGCCTGTCCCCATGGACAGTCCTTCTGCCTGGGCCCAGCTCAGGTGGGGATGGGGTGACCCAGGGGTGGGGCAGGCAGGCAGGCTGCTGCTTCTGACTGGGTGGTCCTGTGTCTTTCTCACCTCGCTGCTGCCTCTGCTGCCCCTGACAGGAGGACAAATGGAGCTGGGCGGGGGTCCCGGGGCAGGCCTCCCACAACCCTTGGCGCTGGAGATGGCCCTGCAGAAACGCGGTATCGTGGAGCAGTGCTGCACCAGCATCTGCTCCCTCTACCAGCTGGAGAACTACTGCAACTAGGGCCGCCGGCCGCCCGCCCGCTGCCCACCTGCACCGTCCAATAAACCTGCAACGAGCCCTGAGTGTCCGTGGTGTGTCGGGGAGCCGGCTGGCGGGGTGGGTACACGCGGCGTGCCTGGGCCGTGGTGGCCTCTGGGGGCTTACTGGTGCTCTCAGCAGAGCCCCTTCCCAAGCTTCGTCCTTGCTCACTGGGCATCAACAGGGGTCCACGCTGGCCCAGGCCCAGGGCAGTGATGTCCCTCCCCCTGTGGCCTAGGTGTAGGAGGAGCACCCCTCCTCCCCTGTGGGATCTCTGGGAGGCCGAGGTGATGGGCAGCAAGGAGCTGCTTCCTCCGGCTATATAGCCTGGGACCTGGAGGTCCCCAGAGAGCATCTGGAAGAAAGTGGACAAGGACATTCTGGCAACTGCTCCACCTAGCCCTCCCAGGCTATTTTCAGAGACATTTTGGATGAAGTCCCTGTGAAGGAAAGCAGTTGGGCCGGGGTTGGGGTCCTGCAGAGTAAGGGTAGACAGGGTCAAAAAGCTATAGAGGCCAGGCCTGGTGGTGCGCACCTGTAATCCCAGGGCTCGGGAGGCTGAGGCAGGAGGATCGCGAATTCAAAGCCAGCTTCAGCAAAAGCAACTCAGTGAGACCCGGTCTCTAAACAAAATACAAAATAGGGCTGGGGCTGGGGTTCAGAGGTTACTGGCCCTGAGTTCAATCTTGACACCAAAAAAAAAAAATAAGACGTTATAGAGGCTGGGCCTCCCTCTGGACACCATCAGACACCCTAAGGGAGACCCCAGAGCCTTGGAGGGAGCAGGGTAAGCCAGGTGGCCCCACGGGCAAAGGACAGACTGAAGGACCTCTTGGCACCAGGCAGGGCCTCAGAAGCCCACTCCTTGAGGTGCCCCCACTGCAAGGCCATGAGATCGCCTGCCCCTGGGCCCATGCTTCCCTCTGAGGACACAAGGTCATGCTGTCAGTGAACTCTCCACACTCCTTTTGCAAAGACCTGGCAGTCACCCCTAGAAGTACCCCCAGGCCCCAAGGACAAGGCCACACTGGTTCTAGGTTTTCTAGGGGCCCCTCCTCAGAACCCTCAGTACCACGGGCTCCATCAGACTTCCAGTCTGGGTGCCACCTATTGGTCAGATAAGAACCTAGGGGCTGCTGGGTCTGGAAGTGTCCTGGAAGGTCAGCTGGTGTCCCTGGCCACCCGAAGGCCTGGAGAGCCTGCCTGCCACCCAGGCCAAACCAATCTGTACCTGACCTGAGAGCTCCGCCCAGCAGGCTCAGATGGCTGGGCCTGGGCCTCTGGCTGCAGACCACCTGGGGGCCGGCCGCAGGGCTGGGAGCAGACCCCTCCAGGGTGCCAGGCCTGCTAGCTCCTCCCCCTGCAGCCCTGAGGATCCTTCCCAGGTGGTCCTGCTCTTCATGACCCCACCAGCACCCCCACCTAGAGGAGACATCCTGGGCCCCCAGCAAGCCCCGCCCCTGGAGTGGGAGCCAGGACTGGACAGGCGGGTGGACGGCTGGACACTGGACCCGGAAGAGGAGGGGAGGAGGAGGCTGGGATCTGTCCGTGGGAATACCCTGCTGTCCCTTTCGCACGGCTAGAGGCAGGGGCGTCCTGTGGAGTCGAGGTATGTGGGATGGCTGCAGGGGCGGGCAGCCAAAGCTGGACAGGAAGGGGGCTGGCTGAGTGTGCCTGCTCTCCAGCCAGCCCCTGGTCATGTTGGCCTGGACCTTGAGGGTTGATGGGCAGATGCCCCCCCCCAGGTGCCAACAACCTCCCTAGAGGGGGTATGAGTCAGGGTGCAGAGAACCCTTGAGGGTGCCAGGTCTCCTGGGGCCAGTCCAGCTCTGTGGGATACCTATTGTGGCCAGTCCCAGGTGGATGCAAGGCTCAGAAACCTGGTTTCAGGGCCCAGATGTCCTGCGACCTGGGTGCCACCTGGGGGAACTCTGGTCTGAGGCCTCAATTCCCATGTGGTGCGCGACCCTCAGCCCGGCCTGAGCTGGCCATCGCCCTCTCCCTTCCCGAAACCTGCCCCATCTCCAAGACACAGGACCGTCCTCCCTGAGGCCTGCCACCCAGCCCCTTGCTCCCTGAGTGTGCCCTTGAAAAGGTCGGGGAGGGAGACCAGACAGATGAGCAGGCACCTCTCGACCGCGCCCTGGGCATGTATGAGAAATTTCTACCCAAGGTGACCCAGGGTCCAGGTGGCAGAGGCAAGATCACACCACTCTCTTCAGCACCATCCTGGGGGCTGACCCAGACGTCCCACCTGGGGGCAGGGGGTATGGACACTCCCTGGAGCCCCCAGGTCAATCCAACTAGGCCAAGCCCACAGACCTGGGCTTCACAATTCCCATGGGGCCTTGTGCCTCTGGGAACCTGGGCTCCTGGCAGGGGTGGTCAGCTGCGTCCAGCCTTAGTATCAGCCTGGCTTTGGGGTTTGGGTCAGCCCAAATGCTCCTCAACTGGGGTCCCCACCCTGCTGGCCCCCTGACCCCCTAGCAGCCTCTTCCAGTGTCACCAAGAGCAGCCCACACACCTGCCCGGTACTCAGCCTGGTCTGATTGGTGTCCCACCTGCCCACACTCAGGTGGGAACTGTTGTACCATGCTGAGAGGGGAGACTGAGTCCTGGAGCCGCACAGGTGGCCCTGCGTGGGCACACAGCGCCGTCCTTCCCCACCAGGGGCCTTCCGTCAGTGAGGCTGCCTTCAAGCTGGCTCCCAGATTGCGTCTGCTCCTGGCACAGACTGGCTGGCACCTCTGCCTGGCCCTGGGGCAGTATTTGCCTTCTCCTGTCAGCAGTAAATATTTACTGTCCTCTCTGCTATCCAGGCCTGAGCAGACCCTGAGGGGCACAAGACATGGACACAGGGAGGCCAAGGTGGACCCCTTGTCCTGAGGTCCGTGTGCCCAATAAGGGTCCTGCCCAAGATCAAGGATCGAGTCAGGACCAGGCGGCCTTTGAACCTGGGCTTCCAGAAGAGGCTCGAATTCTTACCAGGGCCAAATGCTGGGCAAAAAAAATCTTCAGACAGCCTGAGAGGGGAGGGGCGGGTGCTGCCCCCAGACCCTGCAGGGCCGCCCACACCCTGGTAGCTCTTCCCCTGCAGAAACCTGTGGGCTCTGGACAGTGGGGCCAGGAGCAGTCATTGCAGACACAGCCAGCAGATGGCACCAAAGCCTCATTTTTGAGGTGCTCCGGTCTGCAGGTCCCACTTGTGTCCACTGAGTTTGGGGCTGCTTTCTGCTTGGACACCACCCTGCAAGGGGTTCCCTGGCAGGCTTGCCACCCTGGACTCTGGGGCATGAGGTAGAGCGGGGAGAGAGGCTTCTGTGGGGCTGGGGTACAGCCTCAGCTCCCAGGGGCAGCTCCAGCTTGGCCGTCCAGATGTACAGGGAGCAGCTGAGAAAATATCAAGGCCTCCAATATTCTGAGGATGCCTCCAGATAGAGTCTGGCCCCCGTTTCCTGCCCCCCAGAGTCTTGGAGACCTAGAGGAGACTTCAGGATGTCGCCTTCCACCCACACCCCCATGTCGAGGCTGAGTGGACCAGAGGGGTGGGGGGGTGAACTGTGCACGCCCAGCTAGGACCTTGTGGAGGGTCTCCAGGGACCGGGGGAGGCTGAGGCTGGGGACTAGTGGGGGTTACATGTCCCTGTCAGTCCACTGAAGCCTGAAGCCTGTGTCCTTGTGCACAGGGAGGTGGGGGCTTCAGGGACCCCAGCGTGTAGGAGGCCTCAGGCGGGGCCAGCTGGGTCAGAGCAGTCCTTTCCCATGTCCACATTCCGCCCAGTGCTGAGAGGAGAGGGGGGTCAACTCCGGAAAGAACGTTTGTGGGTGGGGGTGGGGGTGGCCGGGTCTGGGAAAGCAGACAGGACAGCCAGACACAGTGCTGTCCCCTCCTGCTCCCACTATTGTTTCTGGCCTGGACTGCAGGAACAGCAAGGCAGAGTCCTTCGAAAGTGCAGCCGGCCGGAGGCGGCCTCCCCACCGTCCCCGTGTGGCCCAGTCACGCTGTGCTGGCGCCAGGCACCCTGCAGGCCCTCCCACCCGCTCCTGGGCGTCCTTGGCTCCCTCCCTACTTCCAGGTGGCCCCTCACCCCACCCACCTCGGTGCAGACTCCCCACTTCCTCCATCTGTGCCTATGGGACCCTGTCCCTGTCACCAGGCTGCCCCTGGCAGTGGGGCCTAGTCTGAGTCAAAGGGGCCCCACAAGCTCCACTCGGCAAGGAAGGGCGAGAGAAGGGGTCTCAAGGTGCCCCTGCGCTTGCAACCTGTCCCCAGAGCTGAGTGTCCTCCAGTCAGGGGCCCTCAGGTGGCAGTGCAGACCCGTCCTTTCCCAGAGATGCTCAAACGTCTGGATCCAGGTGGCTGACCCCGGGCCAAGGTCACAAGAGCTGGCCAAGCCCCACTGCCACACCTGGCTCCCTGTCTTGTGCCCCTCTGAGGTGTCTTTCCCAGCCGCAGGGAAAATCCCGAGGCTCCCCAGCCCGGAGGTCCGCAGACCCTCAGGCTTCTAGGAGGCCTGTGGCCCCTTCACCCAGTGGAGGCCTCGGAACCTGGCCCAGCACCGGCCCACATTCCACACAGCCTCCTCTGACCTCCACGGTCCATCTGTGTTTGTGGAAACAGCCGGAGCCGGCGGCCCAGGCGCCTGCGGCTATTCACGCTGAGAGTCAAGGCACAGCCCTCTGTTCTTCAAAGTCCACCCTCGCTCAGAACTCGGTCCCACTCCAGCCCAGCCTGCAGCCCCGACCTCCTGCCCACCCCAAGGCCCAGCATGGCCCGGGTACCTGAGGGACTCTGGGAAGTCCCCTTACCCTTTGTGGGCTGCAGGTCCTTGGCACCAGTCAGCCACATATGGGGGCCCAGCGGTGGGTCCTGGGTGGACTGAGTCCCCTGAATCTAGCTCTGGCAATGGCTGCCCAGCCCTCCCAAGGCCTGACCTTGAAGGAAAGCGTCACCTGGCAGAGATGGGAGCAGCGGAAGGCGG